GCCACGAGTTCCCACCCACCCCCAGCCCCACCACCTCAGCACCTCTGGTCTGGGCTCCGCTCAAAGCATCACCCTAACAGGTGAGATCTGGGGACCCCAAGAGCAGAGCACTGGACGTGAGCATCACTAGAAGGAGCCAGGCCTCTCCTCATGGTCTCTGCCAAGTCCCCACAGACCCCTCCCAACAGGGGCGGGTTTGGGCCGGCTGCCTGCTGGGAGCAGCGCGGAACTTTGGGCAGCTCCCCGCTCAGCACCCCTGCCCACCACAGCGTCCTGAGTGGAGGGCACCACTCCTCTGCCTTGCCCTTCCTCACTTTCCGTTCTTCTTTACTAAGGCACATCCTATGAGAGCCCTCCCAGGGGTTTGCCTCTGCAGCTGATGCCTTTATGCGGGGAGTGGGGGGGGGGGGCGGGATCTGCTCCAGAGGCTGGGCCTCGGCTGTGCAGCAAAGTGGGAGAAAGTCTGGCACAAGGGCGGGCGGGGGGAGGAGGCTCTCAGGAGACCCTGGCGCCATGCCACCCCATCCCCACCCCTCACCCCCAGTCCGGTCTGGGAGCCTGGCAGTGCCCCGGTCTGGATGACGGGCCCTGTGTACCAGCAGGCGGCACCCTGTCTCTCCCCAGTGAGCCCACCTCCACTGCTGAGAAGCCAGAGGGGGGACTTACCTCCCCGTTCAGAAAGCAGTAGAGAACAGCCACCACGAAGCCCTGGGGAGAGAGAGCAAGGACACCTGAGCGTGCCCGCCAGGACCTCCACGCAGGTGCGCGGGAGTGGGCAGGAGCGACCAGGGAGCAGAATAACACGGTCACTTGGATGGGCCGCCTGCCGCCCGGGAAGCTGGGATGAGAAAGTTCTGCTCCACCAAGACGGCCACAGCCATGGAGCCACCTGGCTGAGGAGGGAGCCCCTCCCATGGACACACCTGGCTTCCGAGCTCACACCTTGGCCAAGTCCTTCCCTTTCCCAAAGGCCAGCTCGATGGATCCCTCTTCCTCCACGAGGCCTCCCCTGAATACCCCAGAATGTCCTCTGGGCTCCCCAAGCAGCCTGCAGGCCCCGCAAGGGCAGACCCAGCAGGACAGCCCAGCCCTGTGTTATATGCACCCCTCCCTAGGCCACACACTCTGCGCACGCACACCCAGTGCACACACTCTGCGCACGCACACCCAATGCACACGCTCCGCACACGCACACTCAATGCACATACTCTGCGCACACACACCCAGTGCACACGCTCTGCGCACGCACACTCAATGCACATACTCTGCGCACACATACCCAGTGCACACGCTCCGCGCACACACACCCAATGCACACACTCTGCGCACGCACACCCAGTGCACACGCTCTGCGCACGCACACCCAATGCACACGCTCCGCGCACGCACATCCAGTGCACACGCTCCGCGCACACACACCCAGTGCACACACTCTGCGCACACACACCCAGTGCACACACTCTGCACACACACACCCAGTGCACACGCTCCGCGCACGCACACCCAATGCATACACTCTGAACAAGCACCCAGACACCGTGAGCACGTGCTTGCGCACAGCAGGGTCCGGCGTCCTGCCGTGTTCTCTACGGAATTCTCTGCCTTCGGATTTCTTGTGCTGAGACAGGACCCAGCCTCTGACTCCCAAGCTAAGGCTTGGTCTTTCTACCGGCAGTTTCATCAGCATAAGAATTAGGATGGGGGGAGGGAGACACTCGAGGCAGTTACACAGAGGACCTTTCAGACCCTCCAAGTCAAATACATGTTTAAACACGTGGGTTCAGGACAGATTCTCTGCTGTAACCTGGGGACACTCCGGGGAGCCAGCCCTGCCTGCACGGCCCACTCGTGTGCCCATCTGCTCAGCTGCTCACTCTGCATTGTCACACCACCTCCCCGTCGCTCACTTGTTTACAACCCACCTTCTTAGTCCTTCACAGATGGAGTCCCTAGTCTCTCTCTCTCTCTCTCTCTCTCTCTCTCTCTCTCTCTCTGACACACCTGGCTTCCGAGCTCACACCTTGGCCAAGTCCTTCCCTTTCCCAAAGGCCAGCTCGATGGATCCCTCTTCCTCCACGAGGCCTCCCCTGAATACCCCAGAATGTCCTCTGGGCTCCCCAAGCAGCCTGCAGGCCCCGCAAGGGCAGACCCAGCAGGACAGCCCAGCCCTGTGTTATATGCACCCCTCCCTAGGCCACACACTCTGCGCACGCACACCCAGTGCACACGCTCTGCGCACGCACACTCAATGCACATACTCTGCGCACACATACCCAATGCACACACTCCGCGCACACACACCCAATGCACACACTCTGCGCACACACACCCAGTGCACACGCTCCGCGCACGCATACTCAATGCACATACTCTGCGCACGCACACCCAATGCACACACTCTGAACAAGCACCCAGACACCGTGAGCACGTGCTTGCGCACAGGAGGGTCCGGCGCCCTGCCGTGTTCTCTACGGAATTCTCTGCCTTCGGATTTCTTGTGCTGAGACAGGACCCAGCCTCTGACTCCCAAGCTAAGGCTTGGTCTTTCTACCGGCAGTTTCATCAGCATAAGAATTAGGATGGGGGGAGGGAGACACTCGAGGCAGTTACACAGAGGACCTTTCAGACCCTCCAAGTCAAATACATGTTTAAACACGTGGGTTCAGGACAGATTCTCTGCTGTAACCTGGGGACACTCCGGGGAGCCAGCCCTGCCTGCACGGCCCACTCGTGTGCCCATCTGCTCAGCTGCTCACTCTGCATTGTCACACCACCTCCCCGTCGCTCACTTGTTTACAACCCACCTTCTTAGTCCTTCACAGATGGAGTCCCTAGTGTCTCTCTCTCTCTCTCTCTCTCTCTCTCCCCCCCCCACCCCCCGTGGGTCATTTATTTATATGCCCGCGTGCTCTCCCACCAGTTCCGCTCGCTCAGCGCTCTGTGGCCAGGTCCTGTCCTAGGGCCCTGACTTGGGCAACACAGAGCCCCAGCGCTCACGGGGTGCCCAGTCCACAGACTGGAGTCAGGACGGGGACACAGAGGTCTCTGGAGGCCACCCTGTCGGCACCTGGAGCGCGGATGAGGATGGGGAGCCACCGTCTTAGATCTGTCAAGAGAGGCCTGGCTCAGGGCACCCGGCCACAGTGACAGGAGACACCAGGGTCTTCTCACAGAAGCCAGAGTGCAGCAGCAGCAGGGGCTCTCCCAGCCCCGGCTAGTCTAGTGCTCTCACGGCAGAGATGGAATCCTGGAGGCCCAGTTCAGGTTAAAGGAGCTTCTAGAACCACCAGCAGGTTAGGGCCAGGGCCCTGGATCCCTGTGAGCTCCCCCCACCCCCACCCCGCACGTACCTGGAAGGAGCCCAGGCCCAGCTCGAACACCAGCCTCTCCCTCTTGCTGACATACTCGGGAGAGAAGGCGAAGATCGTGTAGTGGATCCCAAACAGCGGGATGAGCAGCAGGGTGGACCGCGCCAGCCGCCTGTCGGGAGAGAGGAGGACGTCCACTCTGGGGGCCACCAGCGCTTGGGCCAGAGCCGTGGAGGGCAGAGAACCCCTTTATTCTCCCCAGAGCCCTGTCCATGGACCCTCCTTCAGGATTCTCCCCACGTACACAGGGCCTAGGAGGGGAGGTGGCCAACAGAGCCCGCACCCCAGAGCTCCCTGGGAGGCTCTGGGGGGTGGGGGGACAGCCCCCAGTCTGCAGGGCTCCTGTCCCTGTAGGCCACATCCTGCAGACCCACTAAACGTGCACATGTGCGTATGTGATTTACAGACACCCCTCATGGGGAAAGCGAAGGCAGGGCAAATACAAGGGTGGGATGTGGAAGGCTTGAGTGATGACGTGATGGGCCCTCGGCAAAGCCCACAGTCTCCTGCTGCAAAGGGAGCTCCCGGGCCTGAAAGAGAGTCTGGGGCTAGTCATGGAGAGTGACAGGGAGGTGCTGAGGACAGGGGGAGGTGGGTGGGGGGTTGGGGGAGTGGCCACAGAAGGAGAGACTTGGGCGGAAGGACCTACTGACTGTGGGCATGAACAATTCCCATTCAAGCAGGAGAAACCTGCCACCCGGGAGAGAAAGCTGTCTGCGTGGGGGTGGAGACCTCTTGCCCAGAAAACAGCAATTCTGGGTTCCTCTGCCTGCCCCTGGCTCCTGGCCCGGTGGGAGGGGCTCTGTTCTGAGGGGTGGGGCACAGAAGCTCCGTGAGACATCAAGGGTGTGCACAGTGGTGCCCTTGTGGGCCCTGCCCTGTGAAAAGGGGGCTCCCAGAGGGTCTCCAAGCATGGGACCCCATCTCCACCCACCCCAGCATACTGGCTGAGTCGGGGGCGAGTGGGAGGCTGGGTCCACGCGGGGAGCTGGGCGTGGGGGCTGCCATGGGATTTGGGGCAGTGACACCGTGCATCCCTTCCTCTTCCCCATCCCAGCTTTTCTGGGGCAGAATGTTCTGTGGAGTCTGGGCTCTGGATCTCAGAAGCAAATCCCTGGAGCCGGATTAAGGCCCTTGGCTTCCCAGTGGGAAGGAAGGAGGGAAGGGAAGAAAGAGACGGGGGGAAGGAGAAAAGGAGAAAGGGGAGGGTAACCTGGGGAGATGAAGCCCCTCAAGGGCTGGGCGCCCACCCCACTCCCCCTGCGGGCAGCCCATTCTGCAAGACCTGGCGTCCTCAGACCTGGGCTGGTGCCAGCAGGATCTGAGCAGGCACCCATCTGGGCCCAGGCACGGTGCTGCAGGGTCTATCCCTCCATCGTCTGCTCTCCCTCTCAGGCTGCGGCTCCTGAAGGCGGCTGGCACCTCACTATCCCCACTGGCCTTGAGGCAGCACGTGCCGGCACAGCGCCCACCCCCAGGGCCTGTCCATGGAGGAACAGATGGCCGCACAGCCGGTCTGAAAGCCTCAGTCCTTACACTGACGGTGACCTGGGCACTCGGTCCTCTGCTGGCACCTGGAGCCTGGCACCGAAGACAGCAGGGAGTGTTAGCTAAAGAATGAAAATTTAAACCCAGCTGGTGTGGCTCCGTGGTTGAGCATCAACCTATGAACCAGGAAGTCACGGTTTGATTCCCAGTCAGGGCACATGCCCGGGTTGTAGGCTCGATCCTGAGTGGGGAGCATGCAGGAGGCAGCCGGTCACTAATTCTCTCTCATCATTGATGTTTCTATCTCTCTTTCCCTCTCCCTTCCTCTCTGAAATCAATAAAAAGATACTTAACACAAAAAAATGAATGAAAATTTAAAAAGAAGAGGCAAGTGGCCTAGAAATGCAGTCATGTGTTTATCTTGGGGGCCCCTCGGTGACGCTCCCTAAAGGGGCTACTTTGCAAGAGCAGCTTAATTGGGGGACTCAGGAGGGAAGGTGCCCTGGGACGTGCCTGTGGTCCCTGCCTTCCTCCCTCCAGCTCTTCTCCCACAAATGGGCCCGTTCCCAGGGACTTCTCCCTGCAGTTTGAAAAGCGCCCTGGACACCACAGGGCCACCCTCTCCAGCCTTTGTGGTGGCGGTGGATGGCCAGGGGTCAGTGTGTGAGACACAGTGACCTTTCGGGCACGGGCTCCGGCCCTGCCCAGCCCCTGGCCAGTGTGGCGACTGGTATCAGGTGCCCGCTGCACAGCCAGGGATAGCACCTTCCCTCTGGCAGCCCTAAGGCTGCCCGGAACAGGCGGGGAGTCTGCTGGGGACCCAGCGCATCCCAGGGACCCTCTGGCAGATGGGGAAGTGGAGGCAGGTGGGGAGATCTCTGGGCCCAGAGTTCTGGGGCCTCTGCCCTTCGGAGGTGGCCAGAGGCCCTGGAATGGGGACATACGGTGTGAGCCTCGGGACGCCCCTCTGAGGACAGTCACAGAATCACCATCTGATCTGATTAACCCAGAGACAGTGACACGGGCCCTTGGCGTCTGTCCCCTGTCCCTAAGGGGCATCCATGGCAGAAAAATACCCAGAACAGCTTCCCACAGTCAGAGATGCTCATCCCACTTAAAAGGATGTCCAACGAGGTGGCTGCTCCGGCCAGAGACACCCTGGGGCCAGGTGACAGGACTCCCTGGGTTCAAGTCCTCACCCTGCCAATTATGTGACCTGGAGTGGGTCACTCCATTTCTCTATGCCTCAGTTTTCACATCTGTAAAATGGGGATAAACAAGTACCCACCTCATGAGGTTGTGGTGGGAACTCAGAGAGTGAACACAGACCGGGCACGTGAATGTAAGTGAGGTTTGCTGCAGTGAGAGTCCCTGTCCCGGGTGGGGGAACCAACCCTATGAACTCAAGCTCTAAGACTAGCAGAAATAATTTAGCAGTTCCAAAGACTCGGCCAAGAGAAGTAAGACATTTGGGAAAGACCACACATCAAGGCAGCAGCCAAGCCCCAGCGGCTCCATCCCCACGGCCCCCTTTCCCGTGCCACAACCCCGCCCCCAAGAGTGCAGAGAACTCACAAGACACACAGAGGTCAACATGCAACAGCCAGGGGGGCTCGGGGCTGGGGGCACTGTGCTCTGCTCTCCCCAGTCCAGCGGCAGGACGCGGGCTCCAGGCGGTGGCGGCATGCGCCCCCCTCCCCTCCAGGACACGGGCCACAGCCACGCACACTTACAGAGTAATGGTGGACAGTTCTGACATCTTGCAAGAGTGCTGCTGAGCCCGCTCTGGCCTGCAGTAGCATTTCTGCACGCAGCTGCTGGTGCGACAAGATCAGCACTGGTGTCAGCCGGGGGAACCGGGCAATGGAGAAACTGAGGTGGGACTTAGAGCCACAGAGTCCACGGGGAGGGAGGGGAGGGCAGAGGAGCCGAGGGTGTGGAGAGAGGACCGGGCAGTGACATGGAGAATGAGGAAGCCGAGGGCCAAGACAGGGTCAGCTCAGGACAGGGAAACACACACCCATACATGTACACGTCTGTGCATGGACATGCACACACACATGAGCACTCACACTGGGACCAATAATGTAGGGGGTGGGGCTCGAAGAGAACACGTGTTCAGAGGTGGGGCCTCGGCTGGGTCTCTGAGCCAGAAGCTGTCTCTAGGGGCAGCTCTGGGCTCAGGGCACGGCCTTGTCCGAGGTCACCCAGAGAGCTGAGCAACTGGAAACACCATGGATCTCGAGGTGCCCAGCCCTGGCAGACTGAGCCTGGACCCGGGCAAGCTGTGGGCTCATTACAGAGCCCGACTCGATGGCCACCGTCTCCCCTCTACACCTCTCTTCTTCCACCCGAACCTTCCTGAGCCCCCAGGCACTTCGGGGCAGGCATACAGGGGCGCAGAGGTGGCCTGGACAGAACAGACTTAGTCCAGACCAGACCTATCCACTGTGACAGCCACTACCCATCTGTGGCTGAGTTTAAATTAAATCAAATAAAAAAGCCACCTCCTCACAGGCCCTCGCCACACGGCAAGGACTTGACAGCCACATGTACTACTGGGTGCCACGGGGTCAGCACAGATCGCGGGCATCCGGCGCCGCTGAGAGTCCCAGCGCACAGCACTGTTCGGGCTCAACCTCCTGAGAGAAGTCTGATGGGCAGGGGCTGAGGCTGAGGGGGCGTCTTTTGGGCACTGCCCCTCTGCCTGCAGAAACAAGTCATCTGCAGGGGCATCTACATGTGGGCCCGGGGTCCAGTCTAGCTGGACAGCCAGTGGGAGAGGCCGAGCCTCCCTCTGCAGAGGCTCACGCGGAACGCCCATCTCTTCCAGCCCTTCTCTGCCCTGTGGATGCTTGGGGTGGCACACCCCTGGGCACTTCTCTTCCTCCTCGGACAAACACGTACGTGGGGGATTAAGACTGCAATAGACGCGCCCGCTCCACATACCCTCCTCAGGCACCACGTGGCCTGAGCCCGGGAACCTGCCCGTGGCTGCCGATCTGAGGGGCCTGATACAATAAGAGAAATGCAGGAAGGGCTCACAGCTTCGTCATTTGTGAGTCCAGCTCTCTGAGAGCAGTCTGCGGGTCCTTGGCCTGGGGGACATGTCATTCTACTGAGGCAAACCTTCGAATCACACATTCCTAAGATGGAGCCAACCGAGGTCCCCCAGTGTCCCAGTGTGGGGGTGGGGTTCTCACTTAATTAACAGCATCTCTCAATTCCCACCGTGCTGGAAGGTGGGCGGAACGGCCCATTTTATAGATGAGGATGTGGGACACGATGCTCGGCTACCCAGAGTGGGGTCCCAAACCAGCAGCAGCAGCCCCCCCCCCTCCCCCCCCGCCGAGAGCTCCTTAGAAAGCAGAATCTCGGGTGCCACCCACACCTCAGCTCCGAACCGGCACTTGCACACGATCCCCCGGTGGCCCAAGTCAAGTCCTGCATTGGAGACGGTTCCTCCTGTGACCTCAATGAATGTCAAAGGTCTGCTTCGTATGCACACAGAGACAGATGGACGCACGTACGCCGCTGTTCCTCTCATCACATACACATGTAAGTGTAATTGTAAAAGGTTGGTCGGGCTTTCAGGAATGGAAGCCATCCTACTCTTCACGTGTACTTGCTGCCTCCCCCAGGTTGAAAGGGTGGCGACTCTCCCCTAAGGTCAGCGGCCTGGCCCCTCAACCTTGGCCTACGTGTGGCACAGAAACCGGGTCCAGGAGCCCGAGAGCCCAAATCTCGGATGAGCCTCCGACACAGCTGCACGCAGAATTCTAAAGCCTCAGCTGCTCCCCTTTGAGGTCTCTCCTCCTGGCGCTCCCACACGTTCCCCGCTTCCTAGGCTGGAGGCCGGAACTCAGCCCCTGGGAGACGTGTGCCTCTGATGGGGAGTGGGGTGCAGGGAGCAACAGGGGGGGGGGCTGGCACCGGGGAGGGCTCTCAGAAGGATCTAGGGACAAAGGGAAGGGCTGTTCTTCCAAAACACACCCCTCCCCCAAATCCTCAACGACTGCCCACAAGGACCCGCAGACAAGAAACACGAGAGCGCGGCAGGAAGCCAGAGACAGGCGTGAGAAAGACGTCAGATTCCCTGCCAGCCACAGCAACTAGTGAAGGAGGGAAAAGGAATTTAACCACGAGGGGGAGAGAAGCCCAGGCCGACGGACGCACTCAGTTCTGATTTGGATCCAAGGAAGGTAAGAAACTCAGACAAGGGTGCTGGGTGGGGCTTCTTGGTGACCAGCGCCAGCCAGTCTCCGAGGGAGACCCCGTGGCAGGAGGGCAGAGAGCCCGGCTCCCGGCCCGGTCCTGCCAGGCTTTGCTGTCCGTCCACAGGAAGGTCAAAGCCATTTCCAGGTCTGGGCTCTCCCATCTACAACCAGGGATGCAGCACCTGGTTCCTTGGGCCCCTGCTTTGGTCTCAGGCCAGACTCCACGATGCTTCAGTGCCTTTCGAGGGCGGGGCCGCCGGGCTGTGGGCCTAGGCAACACCTGACCGGATGCAGCCGAGACCCCTGCAGGGAGACCTCCGTGGGCAGCCCCGTCTGTGCACCCTCATCCTAGTGACCAGTGTGGCACTGGATATGCCCAGCCCGCAGGATGTCGTGGTCTGAACTGAACATTCTCTAGAGGGTCCCCCCTATGCTAAGATGCTGGGAACCCCCAGAACCCAACCCAGTCCCCAGGGGGGCTTTCCACCCCACACTGGTACCACTACCAGAAGCCCAGCTGTGACCTTGGGTGGGGCCATTTTCCTTCTCTGGGCCTCAGTTTCTCTCTCTGCAAAATGGGGGTAACCATTCCCTGCTGCCAATCCCTAACAGGAGTTGGGATGCTGGGGTGCTCCGAGACAGGGGAGGGGGTGCTTTAGTAGTGGAAGATGGAGCCCATGAGAACCGGGCGCCGTGCGGGGTGCCCGAGTCCCCGACTGGAAGCGTCCTGCCTGTACTCCGCCCAGCCCGGAAAGGCCTGTCTGCAGAGGTGAATGTCATCCTCCTGACCCTGGGTACACGACGGCCCTGCTGAGCCACCCAGGACATCACCGTGTCTGTTCTTGTCTCCTTCCTTTACCCGGGGACCACGGAGACCCTCTGTGGGGTCCCTGAGGGGGATGCAGATCGGGTTTCCCTCCCCCACACCAGACCCAAGAGGCAGCTCCCGATGCCACCATACCGTGGGAAGCCCACCCGTGGGAAGCCCACCGGGGATAAAGCCCTCCTTCAGGACCTGGCCTGAGCCACTCAGCGCAATCCTGTCTGCCCTGCAGCCTCCCCCTCCCCTTCAGAGCCCCTGCTTCTCACAGAGGTAAACGCTGGTCCCAGGGAAAGGCAGGCAAACCCTGACCCCGGGCGGGCTGAGCCCTAACCCCTGTCCAAGACCAGGGAGAGCCTGAGCACAAGCCGAGCCCTGACCCAGGCCCGCACTCCACGCCCAAGTCCTGACCCCGGATGCTCATTATACGAGGAGCACCAGGGAGAGAGTGTGGGGGGCTCATGCCCCCGCCCAGCCCCCGGGTCCGTGGGAGGCTGGGCCGAGAGCGCCGTCTTGGTCTACGGAGGACACACCCTTATCAGCTGAGCCGCTGGCACCAACCTACAGGAAAGGGGGTGAATGCTGGTCTGAGGGCACAGGCAGGGGGTCCTCTCGGGCTTTCTTGGGGACTCCCAGGCTTATATTTGTTCTGGAAACAGAGGAAAAAACCAAAAAGCTGTAGGTAGGTCTGAAGGGCTTCTCAGCCCAACACATACTTGGTCACCCAAGGGGACAGGGGCACCGCCCTCAAACCCTCTCCCACGGGCCCTGCCCCTTCCAATCCCCCACCGTCTCCCTGCCCACAGCAGACCCCTTGCAGCTCAATGCCCTCCGGTGGGCAGCTTCACACAAGGCTGGAACCCCGGGGCCTCTTCTTCCAGGAAGCCTTGTTTATATACTTGCTTACCACCCTCCTCTGCCTGGGACGTCCCTGAGGCCGGGAATGGGGGTACAGTGGAGCCTGGGGTGCAGGGCCTGCCTGCCTGCAGCGCAGCTATGCCTTCACGCTTCCCCACTGGACTCCCTGCCCTTCACCGATAACCAGTTCCCTCGGCTGCAACACGGGGGTTACATGTGCATGCAGACATTTCTACGCCCATCTCGCCAGACCCTCTGCAGCACCGTCCCTTTCATGACCCCTCACTCCCGAAGCAGGGCCTCCTTGACTCAGACCCTCGCTGAATTGAATAGGATCAAGCTGACCCTTGTCCTGCATGGGTCCTACCCCCACCCCCCCGCCCCCCATGTGCAGACCACATCCATCCAAGGGTTTAACCTTTAGGACTTAAGATGAGCCCATGCTTCGCTTTCTCTATAAAAAGGACTTGCTGAGATTGTGAGAAGACTTTTTACACAAGAGAAGCAAGCCCTTAGCGGGTTCTTTAAACATGTACGTTCACATGTGCAGGCATCCTTCGTGTGGTTGCACTTCACAGATGGTGTGTGTTTTTTACAGATTAAAAGGTTTTTTGTTTGCTTGTTTGTTTGTTTGTTTAATATATTTTTATTGATTTCAGTTGAGCAAGTCTATTGGTACCATTTGCTCACTTCGTGTCTGTCACATTTTGGTAATTCCTGCAATATTCAACTTTGTCGTTATCATTGTATTGGTTGTGGTGACCTGTGGTCAGTGACCTTTGATGTGACCATGGTAGTTGTTTCGGAGCCCACACACCAGGCCCTCAGAAGACAAACAACCAACAGATGTCGAGTGTTCTGACTGCTCCAGCGACTGCCCGTTCCCCAGTCTCTCTCCCTCTCCTCGGGCCCCTGTTCCCCGAGACACAGCGACATGGACGTGTCCTTACTCAGGCTGTGGCTGGGCCTGTGTGTCTGCACAGGCAGAGTGAGGGGGCGCGGGGAGAAGTCCAGAGAAGGGGTCCCGGGACCTCAGAAGAAGAGACGGATTCTACCAGGACCCGGGGCCGGGTGGCCGAAGCTGCCAGAGCCCAAAGGAGCGATGAGGCTGACTCGGCTACACACTGGCATCAGGGATCTGAGATTAGTTCGGTGGGAGCCAATCCACCCTCGAGCAGGAAACTGGGACTAGACACAAGGACACAGAACCTGACACCAGACAGGGAAGGGGGAGGAGAGCAGCAGGGCCCCACTGGCCAGACCTGGGAACAGGCAGGAATGGCCTCTCTAGGACACTTAGTTCGATGCAGAGGACAGGCCTGGGAAACTGAATGACATGATGGGTGAATAATTTTTTTACTACATGACATACACGTATAAGCAGAGGTTGATAGGAACTTGCAAAAGTATGAAAAAAAGGAAACAACAGTAAATGAATAACAAAACAGGAGGGGGTTCCTTCCCAGTGTAATGGAATCATCCTCTATGCAGACAAAACAAAGCTCACCCCGCGAGGCCCTGTGCTGGTCCCCACCCCAGGGGAAGGGCTCCACAAGGGGTGGTGCCTGGGCTGCACAGACAGACAAGGGAAGCCGCAAGGAGTCTGAGGAAAGGACCTAGGATGGCTCTCTGAGCAGTCTCTGCCTCTCTCTCTCTCTCTCTCTCTCTCTCTCTCTCTCTCTCTCCTTCTCTCTCTCTTTCTCTTCAGGAGAATGGTTGGGTGGGGGAGCCCTCTGCTGGGGTCTGCCTGCTGCCCCACTTGTCCACTGGGCAGCTATTAAAATTCTGGGGTCTCTGATGAAGGCAGGACAAAGCCCCCCACAGATGCAATGAGAATACCTCAGCTCCTTCTAACCTGCTCTCCTCTTAAAAAGCCAAGGAAGCAACACCTGTGGCTCATCCCCCGCCCACAGACAGACCCCAGAGACTGCCCCCAGATTCTCTGTGCCCATCTGGCCCCTCCAGCCACCCACAGGGAACTGGCCTTCTGCCCCAGCATCAGAAGTGACTCCACTCCCCACACACCTAGCTGGTCATGGTCATGCTTCTGATCATGAGGCAAGAAGAGTCAGGTAGAAGGTACTCAGTCTGACTCAGGGTGGGTCGAGGGCTGGGACAGGCTGGGACGGGGTGGGACAGGGTGGGCCGCAGCAAGCAGGGATACACTGCTGGGGACACGACTGCAGGAACACTTGTAGGAACAAACCACAAGGCAGTGGAGGTGAATGAAGAAAACCCTACACTCAATGCTAAGAGGTGGCCTGCAAACCCCATCAATCCAAAACGTATCAGATGCTCCTTTGCTCAGGGAAGAGGGAATTCTAGGGGGAGGACCAGACCCCAAAGTACAGCTCCTCTCCGAGGGGAGGAGAAGAAAAAGACTCCCTCCTTCCATTACCCAGACCAGCGAGAACGTCCACGTGACCTGCTGGTGGGGCTGAAGCAACTTGCACACAGGGGCTGGGACAGGACCAGCAGGCAGCCAGTGGCGCTCAGAGCTTCCCAGAGAACCGAGATCCCCAAAGGAAATCCGACTTCTGAGCAACCAAGACCCTAACTACCCTCGGGAACCTGGCAATTTCCGTCTTGATTTCCTAGAGTGACATGTCATCGGCCAGTCTCCTCCAATCTCTTTTCCCTTCCATGTATGTCATCGCCATGTGGATTAGGAGGTGCTGGCTTGGCTGAGGAGAGATGGGCAACTAGATTCCAAAGGCACTTTAATCAGAAAGGAATCTTGCAAAAGCTCACGCTAGGCTACCCTGTCCCCTAAACCCAGGCCTGTCCTCCGGTGGCCTGCGTCAGGGCCCCCTCAGCTGGCGGAGGGGACGATGGCGTTCACACGGTGGTACTTACAAGTAGACGCTGGACTCGTTGCCTCCCATGTCCGGAGACTGAAGTTTCTGCACGAGGATGAAGATGATGCCCACGAAGAGCCCAAAGTTCACCTGAGGAGCAAAGGAAAAGCCGATGGAAATGATCCTGGGCAGAGCCTGTCCACACTCCTGCCTCTGCATATGCCACTATCCCTCCAACAGGGTCCCCCATCCCCATCCAGCCGAAATCCCAGCTAGACTCAGAATTCGGAACGGCGTTCATATGGTTGAAATGACAGAAGAGACAGACACAGAAAAATTCCACAGGAGTACCAAGAAATGGGAAATATATCATTAGTGAGCCAGGAAAGTGAGCAATTTCTGGCAGAGAGAGAGAGAGCAGATAGGGTTGAGGTGATGGAATCATTCCGATGCCAGACAGAAAGAGAAGAGGCTGCTACAGAGGTGAGAGCTGGCTGCTGGGAACGCCAAGGTCACAGTCACTGAATATGGGGGGCCAGAATGGACAACCACACCCCTTATCCATCCAAGGCCTGGGAATGGTGACAGCAGCATTTACCTGCAGGTACAGATCAGGGCAAAAACTCTCTAATCGAAGTGGGGAGCAATATGTCTGGTGAGGAAGGAGGGAGGCGAGCAAATAAATAGAAACGAGGCACCGCAAGAGGAGCACACGGCAACATCCGATGCAGCCAAAGCAGCGCTCCAAGGAAAACGATAGCCCAACAATTACTAAAAAAATGATAAATGCTGAAGATAAAATAATTAAGCATTCAAATCAAAGGCTAGGGAAAGAGTACCACAAATGTAACATATACAAGAAAATGTTTGTTTGTTTTCACAGAGCTGTTGGGATTATACAGTTATACAAGAAAATTAAGAAAGACCAAAATTCATTATTAAAAAAAAAACAGGGAGAAAAGGTAGACCGGGTCAATAAAAATACATTTCCATTTTAGGTCTTGTTTGTTTGTTTTCACAGAGCTGTTGGGATTATACAGCATGCCATGTGAGGGCAGGGTGCTGCTCATCAGGTTCTCTACCGCTCTCATCGGTACCTGGAATTTAGCTCAGTAAACACTGCTAACTGCGTAAGGGGGAAAAAGTAATTAGAAAACAACAACACTAAAAGCTTCCCTATCTATCAATAGCCTGCTCATCAGGTACTCTACCGCTCTCATCGGTACCTGGAATTTAGCTTAGTAAACACTGCTAACTGCATAAGTCCATTCAAAGGGGGAAAAGGTAATTAGAAAAACAACAACACTAAAAGCTTCCCTATCTATCAATAGTAATCTACTAAAACATGTAATGAAAGAATAAATCCAGACTGGCTGGATTTATCTTGTAGGTAAATTACAAAGACAACTGAAAAAAACTGTACAAAACGTCTCTATGAGAAACACTGAATAAATGGAGATGCATGCATGTTCTTGGAGAGAAAGACTCACTATTTTAAGTCTTTATATCAGTTACAGTCATCCCTCCTTCCTCACCCTGAATAGATGCTTAAGACCGTGGAGAATACCAAACCCTACATATCCAAGTTTTTTCCTATACAAACGTATCTGTGATAAAGTTTAATTTATAAATTAGGCTTAGTAAGAGATTAGCCATACCTAATAATAAAATAGACCAATTGCAACAATATACTGTAATAAATGTGAATGTGGTCTTTTTCTCCCTCAAAATATGATAATCAGTCTGATCACTGGCCAAGATGGCTGCTTTGACTAACAGGTGTGTAGCCGATACAGTGAGGATACACTGGACAAAGAGACGGTCCATGCTGGGGTCGGACAGCGTGACCCAGCGCAAGATTTCTTCGCGCTATTCATAATAGCGTCCAATTTAAAATTTATGAATTGTGTATTTCTGGAATTTTTCTTTTAAATTTTTTTCCCAGTCTGGCCAGCGTGGATCAGTGGTTGAGTGTCGACCTATGAGCCAGGAAGTCACAGCTTGATTCCCAGTCAGGGCACATGCCTGGGTTGCAGGCTCGATCCCCAGTGTGCGACAGGCCGGAGGCACCTGATCACTGATTCTCTCTCATTATTGATGTTTCTATCTCTCTCTCCCTCTCCCTTCCTCTCTGAAATCAATAAAAATATATTTTTTTAAAAAATTGTTTCCATACCACGGTTGACTGTAGGGAGCTTAAAACTTAGAAAGCAAAACAGTGGATAACTGGGGGAAAGGTGGGACTGTATCTTCCAAATTAGTTCATAAATTCAGTTTAATTCCTATAAAAATTGAAATTAGACTATTTTCTTGCAACTTGCCAAAGGATTTGAAATCACTTGAAAAAGAAAATCTACAAGAAGATTTTGAAAGAAAAAAGAATAAAGAAGGGAAAATTAGCATACCAGATATGAAACCATGCTAAAGTTATAGTAACTAGCCCAGTGGGGTACTGACCATGGAAGAAGCTAGTAGATTAGTAACATCAAACTGAAAATCTGGAACCAAATAAAATACAGTGAGCGTTTAAGATACAATGACATTTCAACATAATGGAGAAAGGATAATCTATTCAATAGAAATAATTGAGAGACTGGAACATCTATCCACTAGGGGGGAAAAAATAAAATTAGATAAAATTAGGTATCATTTCAGATCAAGGAAATAAAATTTCAGCCGGACTAAAGCATGTAATAACCCAATCGACAAAAATGTGACAAAACAATTAAGAAGCATATCTTTCTGTCATAGGTCAGGAAAGTCCTCCTTAAGCAAGAAACAAGGCTCGGAATGTGGAAAGAGGAAGCCTGAGGGTTTGACTGCATAAGAGTTATGCCGTCTTGGAAACACACTTACAACACGTGTACCGAATGTAGTGTTACTATCCTTCAAACAATGAGACAGACAACAACGGGGCTAGAAAAATAAGCATAAAAAAATAAATAAAAAGGTAATAACCAGAATAAAAACAAATTGTCAACAACTATCTGGGAAAATGCCCTGCGGCACTAGCAACATGAAAAAATGCCTATTAAAGCATTGAGCAACCTTTACCCCCTGCCCCAAAAGACTGTCCACAATTATGCACAGAACCCTCTCTAGTGGTATCTTTTGCGATGAGGAAAAATGGGAGCATATAAATGACCAACGCTCTCAGGATAGCTACAGCATGTGTACATCCATGCTGCAGAATACAATGCAGCCATGAGAAGGGAGGAGGCTGGTTTAGGTTTCCTCTCCCATCGTGCCTTTATGCCCAAGCCGCCGCCACCTCTTCCCTGCTCCTTGTCCCAAGGGCACTCACCATTATGGAACCAACCACGGGGCCTTTGATCACCCACCACAGAGGAGTGCTGTCATTCATATCCCAGCAGCTGAGAGACAGAGAGAGAAGCGAGGTTATGCTCAGGCACAGGGCCCCTGCAGGACCATGTCTCTGGCCCTGGCTGGTGCTTCCCCTGCAGCTCCCTGAGGAGGGGTGGCTGGAAGGTGAGGTCTCAGGTGCTGCGGGCCTTCCCTCAGCAGGGATTGCAGCCCAAGAGTCAGGGTCACCACAGGGCTCCTGGGCAAGGGCCACCTTCTCCTTCACACCTAGGCCCCTTGGGGGGCGAGTTTCCCCTGCACTTGTCCTCCCACCCCTGAAAGGAAGCGGATGCTCCGCTCCGGCCCAGGAACAGAGCGGGGCTCTGAGCCATGCTCCTTCCCACTGCCTTCTGGCTGAGGTGTGGCTGGGTGGACCCACCTGTGGGCGGCTCAGGGCACAGTGGGTGCCCAGCCTGGTATCGTTTGCCTGGGGCCGGTAAAGCGGGGTCCCCCATGGAGAACCCACACAGAAAACCAGCCTGGCACTCGGGCACGCACTCACCCTGTGTTGTCAAAGTAGAGCCTCAGCGCAGCCCACACCGACACACAGATGGTTGGGGACCCTGCAAGAGCAACAAAGGAGCCCCGTGGTAACAGGAGCGCCAACAGGCCATGTCCCCCTCAGACTTGGGGCTCCCTGTGGCTATCATCCCCACTCAGACATGGGGTTCTGACCCACAGGCATGGCTCCCTCTCAGACGTGGAGTTTGTGGACCCTAACTGTTCCTTATACCCAGAGGTCCATGTTTCCCGCTGACCATGGGCTAGCTCGCCTTACAGAGTATGTCCTCTCAGAGGTGGGCTTTCTGGGGGCAGGAAGAGCAGGAAAGAGTGCAAGCAGCAGGTGTGTGGCATTGGGGCAAGGGGGGAAGGGACAGGGAAGTTCCTCCTCTGGTCTGACGCTCCCCCACGGGCACCGAGGACATGCCTGGCCCCGAGGCCACAGCCAGACCTACCCCAGCCAACCATGGTGTACCAGTAGAAGTATCTCCTCTCGGGGAAGAAGGTCTCCACCAGCAGGGTGAAGAGGTACAGGCCCTCGATGAACAGCCAGAAGTAGTTGGACACGACGCAGTAGTGGAAGAAAACCATTATGGCCTTGCACTCCACCTGCCGAGGGGGCCGGAGAGGGAGGGTGACATGAGCCCCCATCCCCTGCCCCGCCGAGCCCTGAGAACCAGCCCCGAGAGCAGGGAGAATTCCAAGGGCCCTTCAGCTCTGGCCTGCTCAGGCTCACACCCCATGGGTCGGAAACACTCAAAAGTTTCCGACCCATGGGAAAAGTTTAAAGTTGCCCATGATTCAGAGTCGAAGCTACTCACGGAGACAACACTGCCCATGTCAGCAAAGGACGGGGTAGGGGTGAGCATTGAGCCCCCTCCCCAGGCTCATTCTCCCCATCTTCCTGCCCCTTCCCAGGCCCCACAGGCTAGGTGAGTAGGCAGGTCCCTGCGGGAGGCCCCTTCGTCAAATGAGGGCTTTAGACATCACAGGGGTAGAGGAGGTACCCCGGGCCCCCCAGAAATCTCACAGAGAACACAGGCTCTAAGTGTGCCTCCGGGCCAAGGTCCTGTGCTCTCGGCAGATTTTGCCCTCCTGCCCCATCCAAACCCATCTTCTCTGCTGACCTGAGGTCTGAGGTCTGGGGAGGAGGTCTAGGAGGATGCCAGCCCACAGCCCTTGGGCTCCATCAGGGGCGGTCGGTAACCAGCCCAGGCCAGCCCTCGGTGAGCCTGTGTGCATCCTAGCCAAGTGGGACCCGGCCTTTCCACCTGACCTCCAACTGCTCTGCCAACTGCACGCAGGTGCCGAGGGCCAGGCCATGGCCTCAAGCAGGCGAGTCCCTGGCTACCGGTGGCCTGGTGATCTCTCCTGGGTTTCCCTGTTCGCTGGGACTGTGTTAACCTGCGGGAAAACCCCGGACCTCGGACGTCCCGGATGTCCCTGGCCGGGCACTCACAGTGGAGATGTAGCAGTGGTTGTTGTCCTGCTCCTCATACAGGATCCAGTCCTTGATGAAGACAGAGATGGCCCTCAGCATGAAGGACGCGAACAGGTTCATGTGGATGAAGTTGCGGGTGCAATGCAGCTTCCTGCCCAGCGAGGGAGAGGCCTTGAGGCGGGTGACCCACAGCACGGCGGCGGCGCACTCAGGGCTGCTATGGGCTCCCACCCTGACCACCCCCACCTTCCTGCTTTCTAAGTTGCAGGCCCCCATCACCCAGCCCATAAGCCCTCTATGTAAACCAGGAAGGCACAAGCGAGGCAAGTAGGCCTCCTCCCTGGACAGGCCAGCTGCCCTCTCTGGGGTCAGGTTTCCCACCCCCTATCCTGGGAGTGCGGGAAGCCCCGCCCACCAGCTCCAGGGCTGACGTCCAGGGGGCATGGTGAGGACTCTGAGCTGGAGTGGGCACGCTCACTGGGTCACTGCTGGAGATCTTACCGGAAGCGACACAAGATGACCATGGCAGTGGTGAGGGAGACGAGGGACGTGCTGTAGCCAACTGTGTACAGGGCCTTCACCGACATGTAGTAGTAACTCTGGGGCACAGGAGGGTGGGGCTCCATGTAGGGTCTGCCGGCCCCCAGCCCAGTCTCCCAGTCTCCCCCCTCTGGGCCCGCCGCCCAGCCCCTCCTTCCTCCCTCCTCTTGCTGATCTCACCTCCTCCCTGCTCAGTGCCTCTACCTCTGAGACCTCCCCAAGCCCCCATCCCCCACTGAGTGGCTTCCTCCCCTCTGTAGTGTGTCTGCTCTCATCAGATGCTCCATAAATGCTTGTTGAGCGCAGGAGCTCTGAGCAATCCAGTCACCCCTTAGCCTGGACAAGGGTCCAGGAAGCCCCCTGCTGGGCCCAGCAATGACCCTCCTGCTGCTGGGCCACAGGAAGGCTGGGTGTCCCAGAGGAGTAGCCGGGGAGGTGGGGGCACATGGTGAGCGCTGCAGGAGCTCAGGCAGCAAACCGGCTGCTTCTCGGTCCAGAATGAGTGAATGAGAGTCCTACCCTCCGAGCATCCGGACACGGTGGGTGCTCATACATGCTGCCTGGGGACCTGAGATGCCTATCGTCCCACCAGGAGTCACAGCCTCTGCTGGGAACACCCTTCCACCGCATCCTCAACCCCACCCCCACTGCCTCTGGGGAGCACACACTCACCTGGTCCCCAGACTCAGATTCATTATATTCATCAAACCCACAAGCATCTAAATAGTGAGGGAAGGTCTCCGACCAGCCGTCCTTCGTGCAGTTCCGGCTCACCACCCTCATGCCTGCGGCGGAAGGAGAACACAGGCACAGAGATGACCTAAGAGGCCCTGAAATTCTTATTCGAAAGTCACTCCATACTTGGGGTTCCTGGGGAGCATGGCCACTCAGGTTCCTGAAATCCTCCACTGTCTGCCTGGAAATAGTGACTGTTGATGACCTCAGGCTGGGCCTTTACAAAGGGCATGGGGGTCGGGGGAGGTGCAAGCTGCTCTCTTAACAAGGGGAGAGGGGACTGGCCCAGTGGGAAGACTGGCCTCCACGGTGCCTGGGATTCTGAGTCCTGTGACCCAGGGCAGCGGGGCGTCCGCAGGCCCAGGGAGAGAATCGCTTCTGCTCACAATTCCAAGACAACTGCTCCTGCTCCAGCAAACCCAGCTCAGCTGCTACTGGCAGGCTCCTCCCAAGCCCCCGTGACCACCTCTTCAGAGTCCGGGTGTCCGTGGGACCGTGGCCTTGGCCACATTCCTCCCCTGCCTGGGCCTCATCGCCTCTCCACTTTGCCCACGTCATGGTGGTGGGAAGAAGAAAGGGAAGTTACTTCAAAATGACAATTTTTAAAAAAGTGTCCTGAGGTATACGCTCTTTCCTCCCTCTTATTCTCCTTCTTTACATTTCCTTTTAATAACACAGTGTGGGCCCAGGACAGCAGAAGCCTCTCTGTTCCGAACTCTGCCATGAACTGGCCACTCCATTGTTGTACTGCCCTCCAGACGGTCAGCACCGTAGTGACGGCCCCGGTGACTGCACCCGGCTCTCTCCCCCCAGCGATTCCACGGAGCACAGGACCTCGGGGCCCGGCTTCTCCAAGTGGGCGCCTCCCCAGACCAGCCCATCAGCATCACCTGGGAGACTGCCTGGACGTACACCTTCTCAGGCCCCACCCAGGCCCACGGGATGAGTGACTCTGGGCGGGGGCCAGGAATCTGGGTTTCCACCAGCCCCCTGGGGGGTCGAGGCCACCGTGAAAGTGTGAGAACCACCATTCTACACAGGGGAGTTCCCAGCTGTCAGGGGCCACCTAATCCAGGAGGTTTTTATTTGGAGTCCACGATGGGGCTTCGAGAGATCTGTGTTCCCCTAACATTGTAGGCACGGTGTTCTGTCTGGGCACTTGAGGACAAACTTCCACGGAGAAGACCCACAGCTTATCGGAGAAGGAAAAGAACCTTCCAGAGGCCACACAGCCACAGAGAGGCAGAGCCAGGCCTGCTAGAGGGGTCCCCCTGCTCACAGGTCAGCAGATGCCCCTCCTCTAGCCAGCAGGTGGTTGATCCCAACGTACCTGAGAGGTCCAAGGACTTAAGGTCTTCAAAACCAAGCTCTCCTGCAAAACAGAGACACGGGCCTGAGTCAGAACACCCGGCCATCAGCTTACCAGGGCTGCCCACTGCCGGCCCCCCACGCGGGAAGGCCAAGCTCCCCTGGCCTGGAGAACGAGGGGTGGGGTCTCAGCCAGGAGGCAGCCCAGCACTGCACCCACACCTTCCTGACACACTGCACATCCCACCGGCAATCCATTGGCTTTGTATTTCTACGCTCTAATGATGCTGATGACTCAGTTCTCCTCCCTGGACCACAGGAAGTGGAAATGGGACATTGTCAGGACGGTGAGAGGGCCTCCCCCAGAGTGGGAGAGGAAGGAAAAGGGATGGTTGGGCCTTTTCAAGGACAAGGCAAGGAACAGCCACACGAGTCCTGGGCTTGGTCCCCCTCCTCTTTGGTGCTCACCCCTCCAAACCGCTCTCATCAAAGGGAACCCAGAACTTCAAAGACTTTATCCTCAGACCTTTTTCTCTTCCTCTCCTGACTCTTTCTCCCCACCTCCACCCATGCTGATGCCCCTACTAGCAATGAGTCTCCATTTCCCCTCTACTTCTCTAAATCCTGTTCCCAAGGTCCAGCTGACATGCCGCCTCCTCCAGGAAGTCTCCCTGCACCTTTACATTGTTCTGCCCGCATGCGGCATCCTTAGGTCTCTTTGGTTCTGGAGCTTGCTGTACATTCCAACTCTGCAGCCACTGGGGATGTCAGTATCTGTGTGGGCTCACGCATACATTCAGGCCTGCACATACGTGTGTGGTGGGCTTGTTAACCCCTCCATGAGTGAGTCTGGTCCTCCCAAACAAGCCCATGAGCACCCTGAGGCCAAGGGCTGCATCTTCCATCTTCCTATGTCTCCACCCCCCCAAACCACCTCGAGGATGGCCAAGGGGGAAAGAAGGGGGAGGGGAGAACCTGGTCCCTGATAAGCCTCTCATTCCACCCCCACCCGTTCCCAGCAGTCAGAGCCGGGCTCCAGCTGGATGGACAGATGGATAGATTATCAAGCTGGGTGGACAGATGGACAGATGAACAGCAGTCTGTCCTCTCCGGGGTTCCTCTTACCGATGGTTTCTGTCTCCCAGACTGAAACAGAGAAAGGGAGAGAACGCAGAGGTGAGCAAGGGCTGAAGTGGGGTCTGCTCTCACTGGGTCCCAATTCCTCCCCCTCCTTCTTCCCCACCTCACCCCCAAACGCTGGGGCGAGGGTCTGCTGGGGCCCAGAGCCATGAGGACTACAAGCTGAGGCCGGCCAGACACTGGAGACATCTACCTCTCCCTCGGGAACAGGACACAGTTAGAGAAATGAGCAGAGGCGCCTGAGAACAGAGCGTTCTCCTGTCGCTCCACAGCCTGCAAAGCAGCAACCACCCCGATGAGAACGCCAGGGGCAGCCCTGGGAACCCAGAGCTAACATGAGAAGTGCCGTTTGCAACTTTCCAAGTCCCTGTAGCAAGTCTCACTAATTCAGCTGTGTGAATGGAGATGCTAAAAGGCCTGCCTTAATGAGCTGTTATGAGTCAGGTGTAAATAACACACTCATGGTGCAACTGCCAGGGGGAGGGCTGGCGTCTGAAGGGAAGTTTATCTCAAGAAGATCTTATTTTGTTGCTGATTCCTTTTGCCTTATTTTTATTGTTGGAAAGAAGCAGTCTTGCCATGGTGCCTGACCCAGAGGAGATGTTCAGTAAACTTTAAGTAGATGAATTGATGACAGGAGTCCATGAACGGAGGATGGGATTAACCTGGCTTCTATAGGAAGGAATTCTAGAGATTGGGCTGCATCGCGGGGCTGCCACATGCCTGACGTCCCACCACTCACACTGCACTCACTTCCCTCCTCCGTCTCAGCTTCCAAAGTTCACCTCCTGTCCCGTTCTAGACAGCACGTGGTCACGCCCAGGCCCGAGGTGTCAGGATGGGAGAGTTTGTCTGCCACCCTCTTTCTGGGCTGGCAGGAGGTCTGAAGGTAGGGGGTGTGGCTAACAGGCCCCAGAAGGGGAAGCGGGGGAAGGGAGAGGCAAGGTGGCGGGCACTGCAGCTACATCCTGCCTTCTCTGGTCATAGGATGGAACCCTGAGACACAGGCCTGGCACCCAGCATGCTGCCACTGTCTCCTGCAGGCACCTGCCATCCAGGCAGAGTCAAGGTTGGCAGGATTCCAGGAAAATCTGAATTTGCTTCTATCTCAGGCAGGACAGGGGCCGGGCCGGCAGGACTCTGTAGTGGCCTGGGGTCTGGGAACTCCCTACTACTAGGACATCGACCGAAGCCTCAGGTGAAGGAGGAAGCGAGGCCCAGGCCACAAGTGACCTGTGCATGACCACACCCGTGACTCAGACCCTCCTACCCGCGAGGCCCCTGCCCAGGGCTCAGTGGTCAGCACCGGCCCACATCGTTCTCAGTAAACCACCTGCCTGGAGCCCCGCCCCCAACAGTGCACTCAGCTCACCCCTGACACCCACAGGGGTGCGATGTAGGGCCAGGGCCTGGCTCTAGGCTCTTCTCCGGGTCACAGTGATCTGGCCAGACACCAACCTTCTTTGGGAGCCCACAAGGCCTCAAGGGAAGGAGGAAACAATCTCACACCCAAAGGAGAGATGCCATCTCAGACCACTCCCCACAGAGATGTGGTCACCACAGCCTGGGGCCTGCAGATAGCCCGCTGCCTTCTCCCCGCCCCGCCTCCCTATATCCTGAGTCACAAAGCCCATCACTGCCCACCCCAAGGTCTCCCACATCGGCTGGGGCCCCTGAGTAACTCCAGGGCACTGCAGTAGCTCCCACATACACACCTCAACAGACACGCCCCAGGCTGAGCTCCTTATGACACTGCACCCACCCAGCCTCTCCTCGCAGGGAGGCAGCCATCAGACACCGGTCACCCAAGCTGGCATCTGCATGTCACACAGCTCCCGTGTGCCCAGCGTCCTCTCCCAGGCAGCCCAGGGGCTCCTGGGGGACAGGACCCCAGCTCCTCCTCTCCTGAGCCCGCATCGCTGCCCCAGGTCAGGGAGGACCAAGAACACACTCCGCTTAATGCGCACGAGTGCGCCTGCCTGACGGTGAGGTCGGCCCTGTGCCTGGATCTGAGTGGTGTGCGAGTGTGGACGCCAGCAAGTGTGGACGTGGGGGAGCGTCCTGTGTCCACTGCCTGAGGTGTCTCCCTGTGTGTCTGTGTGTGTCTCTCTGGGCCCCTCAGGGTCTCCAGATGAGTGGTGATGGCAATAACATCAGTTAACAATTACCACTGGGTATTAAAACGTGCCCAGTCCCGCACTAAGTGACTCCCCCGTGTATCACTCGAGTCCCCAGTGACCCACCACATTCCTGTTTGACAGACTAGGGGACAAAGGGGTGAGGGCCTTGCCCAAGGCCTGCAGCAGGGGTGAGTGATGGAGGCCGTGTGTGAAAGCCCAGCTGTGCCCCACCCGTGATGTCACACCCCCCACGTGGACCGGGCAGCCACGCCTGAGGGAAGCCTGTGTGTCCCTGTGTAGAGGTGGCGTGTGGCCCCATCCCCGCATCCCTGGGAACAGCTATCAGCCTGTAGGGCAGCCGTGTCCTTGGTGCTCGTGTCCCAGGGAGGTCTGGGGCCCCTGCGGGGAGCGGGCGGGGCTGAGTGTGGCCTGAAGAGGCGCGGGCGAAACCCACCTTGGTCTGGATCGAAGATTTGGAAGAACTTGGGGCAGCTGACCAGGACTATCTCGCCCACGCGGGCGGGCTTCCAGCACGTGATGTTGTCCCACATCCCAGGGCAGCCTGTGGGGAAGAGAGCATGTGAGCCAGGCCCTGGCAGCGGGCACCTCAGTGGGCTGGTCCCCTCAGCTCCCTGGACGGCCCCTAGGCCCAGCATCATGGGTGTGGGGAAGGCGATGGGATGGGAGTCCACCAGGAAAGGACGGGGAGGAGGGGAGGAGGGCACCCTGTGGACTTTGTTTACTCGGGGGGGGGGGGCAGAGGAAGTGCCCGTAATGACCATGACCGATCAGTGACAGCAGAGCATGGAGAGTCGGGAGAGGGTCCCCATGCTGCAGAGGGGTCCATACACACTGGTGCAGAGAGGGCCTCTCTGCCAGGTGAGGTC